AATTAATTGCTGCCCACTCTTTAAAACTAAAAAATAAAATTTGCATTAAATTTAAAATAATTCGATATGCGAGTCATAATTATTGTATTTTTTTACTTCTAAAGCAAATACACGAAAAAATTATTCTAATTAAAATAACAAGTATATTTTTTTTAATCCTCTACAATTTTAACCGTAAAAATCTTTTGAAATATTTTTTATATTGCCTATTATGACATGAATATGAAAGTTATAATTAAGGGATATTTGAGGATAGTTAAATCTATTAAATAGCTACAGTTTTAATCCACTTTCGGTTTTTAAACGTTAAAAAAATCTCTCTCTTATAGTAATCTTCGAAAAACGAAAAATGCATTACGGTGTATTAAAACATTTCTCTCTATGCGAAAGTTTTGGAAATAATTTCTTATTCCAAACGTTTTAATTTAATTTAATCCACGTTAAGCATTTAAAATATAACATTTTAAATGCTTAACGTTAGCGTAAGCATATATGAAGCAGGCTAATAATCGCCGTGTTATTTATTAATCGGGAATAAAGAAATATTTTTATAGCAATGGAATAGCATATCCAGATATTATTTAATAAATAAAACTGCTGATCGGATCAGAAAAACTGCAGACGAATCGATAAAACTAGTCGATAGCAGAAAAACTAGCAAATATGGCCGTTTAATCATTCCGGGATGGGTTCGGAGGGTAAACTTGTTGAACTCATCTTCCGGATGGTCGGAATCGAAATCGGATGCAAGACGCGAGCCACTAAATAATTCCCAGATGAGGGAACAAAACGACAAAACGAAGCAAGGAATGGGGAGGAGTAGGAGACTGGCGCCGATCTCCCGCTGTGCAGGTGTCGGTAACCTCCTGCTTGACACACTGTTTAATCACCAGATCTAATGATAACGGGTGCTGGTCACGTGGTCAGAGCAAGACCCCGCGGCCGGACTAATATATATATCTATATCTGATGGAAATATCTGGGAGGAATTTCTGCTTTACAGTCGGTGGAAAATTACCTCTTATCAGAACCATCTTGTCTGTGGTGCGTGCAGGTGTCTCTCGCGGTTGGACCTGCCGGCGACATTGAAATGTCCGTCTTTCGTACGCTCCAATTAGTAACTTTGCTCGAGAATTTATAACTCGCAACAAATATTGCGTCTTCTAAGGCCGCTACGTTTTCAACGAAGACGAGATCCGACAGTCTCCTAACCCAAATGAATAAGTAAAAAGTTATAAAAGAAGCGAGTCCGCGCGTATTTTTTCTACAGAATATCTTCTTTGATGGATGTTGACTGTGAACTGACATTACGAGTCGATTCCCGTAAGTCGCCGACGTAGTATAGTAGGTTGTGACGTGGTAACGGAGAAGAGCGGCTAAAATCGGCACGTGAATGCCGATTACGTCACACGAGATAGCGTCACCGATCGATAACTAAGCAAGAGTTAGTTCCGTTTTCGTCAGTCGAGACACGCGGGATTCTCTCAACCTTGACGGTCTTCGTAAATCGTACAGGCAACTGGTTTCGAGCGTTCCTCTGCACACGCAAAGAGAACGCTACCTCCACCAATGCAGTCGGCATTAGCGGATTAAAGGTCGTCCTAATCTTTGTAGACGAGCATTTAAACAAGCGTTTTTGTTTGACATAAATCACTAGATGCTTAGGCCGCGGGCTAGGCATTTGTCGTCGAAGTAATGAACGGTTCGAAACAGAACAAGTTAATTGAACATTGTTCGTATCGAAGATCGTATCAGAAAAATTTCTTTAAAAAATATATTGACATTTTCCCCCTGTAATTCTAATTGTTTATTTAATTATGGACATTTTTACGATTATTAACAAATGTTACGACCGAATACAAAGAGAATATAAAGTCTATTATTAAAATAAACTAACTAGATTTTCTTTCTCTTTGTTTAACTCTTAACATTCGACTCAATCGTAACTCGATGTAAATAATTACTATTTTTATTTATGCCGTATAGAAATGATAAGATACTTTAGGCAAGTAATTAGAAATAAGATTCATGGCGTAAAAGCATCTAAACCGTTTGCATTTCGAAAACCGCAATTTGTACAGTATAATGCGACGGTTCCTAAATTACAAGGCGCAAGACTCGAGTCCTGAGGGAATCGGATCATAAAATAGTTTTAATTATACATGATTCGCCAATTTCTCAATACTTGCTTTTCGTACAACTTTAAATATTGCAAATAAATCGACTACTTCTTTCAAAATGGCTACATTTAAATACGGACTGATGAAAAATAAGGTACCATTCCGTTGAGCGGCGAGTAGACTGTTTTAATTTATTTTTTTAAATCTTCCGTGAATAAATTAATGCGAAAAATTTAGAACGCATTACTTCGGAACATTTTTATTACTTTTCATTTACAGAAATGTCACAATATGCATTTACAGGTCAACATAACCATATTTAGACACGGCGAATACAATCGAATTACGTTTTATAATTTTAGATTACTCATACTGCAAATTATGAGTAGGGCCTAATATAAATTCACAAAATTTAGATTAACTATTCCAGTATGATAATATGCGATAATATAACACATTATCTACGTAGACTGCATTATAAACGTATGATATTCGGTAATATAAACTAGGTTATTTCAAACTCTCGTGGCTCGAAATTCAATTATAATTTAATAAAACAAAACTTCGTAGGTCAAATTTATCGTTTCCCCTTTGACATATGTAGAAAATTTTAAATAATAAATAATCATTATTTATTTTCTTTAAATTTAAAGCAGACACATTATTCTACTACGATTTATTTGTTGATTAGAAAAGTAACATTAGAAGATAAATACTGTTAGGACATAGTAAGTAGAATACTAATGAATATTTCTAACAAAAAGTTAATGCTTAAGGTTTCTTTAATAGACACACACTGCCTTTTTTAAATTTCATTACTCTCAGTTAAAAGCACAAAATCAGTCTTCGATTGGGTTTCGAAAAAAAAATAAAATAGAATAGAATAAAAGCTAGGAAGGGGGAAAAATTGCATCTGGCCAACTTCCAAAAGAGCTAATAGTTGCTTTTATATGAAAAAGAAACCGCACGAAAATTAACGTCATCATGTCAATCGGCTGTTTTTGTTCAGCCGAGCAAACCAACACTGGAAGTGGGAAAGGAGAAAGAAAAGGCTGCGCTTATTTTGTTCCGACATTTAGTTCGCTAATCTTTGGATTAAACTACCGTCCTGATATATTGTGAGTATCAGGCCACCCTTCAAATGATTAAGAGCGCAAACTCGTCCTCTCTATCAGTCTAAAATTATATCCTCGGTTGTCTTTAATCAAGTTTTTATGTCGTCCCTTTCCTCTTTAATTATTTATCACAAACCATCGTTTTATACTTTCCGTCTTAAGGTCCCTTATTTATGAAATGAAAACATAAAATTCACCCACGTTAATGACAAATGTTCTCGGTGTTCCGAGACATTAAATCGAATACTTAAACCAAAGCAAAAATTAATACGGGGCAGATTTATGACGAGGGGATGGAATATACAAAGCAGTATGAGTCATACTATCGACGGATCCCTATGGACAATAAAAGTTGATGAAAGGACATCGTGTCGAAGAATGAAAATCGTTAAAAAATTTCAATTTAAAATCATTTTTATCGAGCTAAACAATTGTCCGCAACTCTCTCGTTGTATCTAAATTAAAATAGTTAAATTAGCTAAATATTTGGGTTAACTTCTCAGTTTGTAAACTTGTTCGATACGGATTCCCGACATTTTAATTTACCATCTCGTATCCATTGATTGATGATAATTTCTAAAGCGTAAATCTCGAAATATTATTAGTGACAATTCCAACATCAACTAAATATGTTTATTGTACAGCGGGAATAACAACAAGTTTCGCTTTAACGAATTCTCTACTTTGCATATATTTACATATTGGCAGCAAAGAAAACGAGTCAATGCGACGCGATTCTCTCCTAAAATCGCAAAAATGGGAAGTTGTATATTATTTTATCAAAACCAAACCATCTGATAATGAGAATTTTTCGCATTAACAGCTTCATCAATATCGTAATGGGCACTAGTAACTCCGACTTAAAAATAAAAATTGACGAGGAGTAATGGATAAAATGCATTTCACATTTCATTATTATATCTGATTCGATGTTTGAAAAATAAATTCTTGTCTGCCATCGATCTTTGACACTGTCCAGTTTAATATAGTTTAAACATTTTCCGATCAATTTCCCATTTATTGTAGTTAGAAGGAAAACTTCTATTAAAATATTTCAAAAAAATTTAAGCAGAATATTTTAAAACTTTAATATTAAAGATTATTTTCAATTTTTTTTTTTACAAATATTATAGTAAAACTTCTACTTTATGATAAAAAGAAAATATTAATTCTTTTATTACTTAAAACTGTTTAAAAAGTTTAAAAACGCTCAAACATTTACGATTTTATCAATTTTAAATTCTGTAGTTTAAAATGGAAAATTAAAAACGATTTTATTCGGAAAAAAATTGATAAGCTCGATATGGCGTATTAATTTTCAACATTATATCCTAGGATAAGATACTTTAATTGGATTTGAAATTATCATAACAAGATCGCAATTAAACGAGTGAAATTACATCGGACCAGTTTTACTCCCTACAGATAAAGAAAGCCGTGTTACAAAAATAAATAAATAAAAATAATTCAACTCTTTTACAATTTGTAATTACATATTCACCCACTGATGCACTTCCTTCCTTATAGGAATTCACGTCATCTGCCGGTATATCCTGTTTCCTTTACAGCAGGCCAATATGCCCTAGCATATACAACATACAGGAAACTATCTATAGACCTATACGCTAGCATATCGAACGGCAGAAAAAAAGAAGGAAAAGAGCTGTTCCCTTTTACGAGAAGCAGATAAGATACACTATTTAATGATTTGTTGTCGAAAAGCGAATGATTTATATTTAAGGATATAAAATTTAAAAACACATACGTTTCTTGTATTATCAATAAACGGTCTCTAAAATATAAATAGGTTATGAAAATATTTTAAATCGGTTCTTCCTTTAAGATCTAATAGAATTTTTCTCGTGACGAAAACCAGTTAAATGGAACCATCTGACCTAAATATTACAGAACGTAATGGAAATGTGTCGATGTTCATATTTCACACATATTTCGTAACTGGCCATTGTACATAGTGCGGCGATTAATCATACAGTCAGGATAAACAATACATAAATTAATGTTAGGGTGTAAACGCCAGCCTCCAGGAGTGAGATAAGCTGGTGTTGTTGACAGAATCCAGTCAATGGAGTTTTAGATAACGTTTAGACACACAAGGGGTATGTCATGTGCGCGTGTAAAAAACCCGATAACTAAAGCATACAGAGGGATGGATGTGATATCTGTTTATACAATAGGTCCTAACAATATAGAAAGACACAATGTTAAGTTTGAGTGATGCGTTTTCACGTACTCGTACAGATTTTCAAAAAAAAAATTTTTTCTGCTGGTGTCGTCCCCATGATTAGGACCATCGCCGAACCGAAATTATATTGAAAAATGTCATCTTTACTGTCATCGATCAATTTTAGACTAAGAATAATGTATTTTGCTTAGTGTTATTGCAAACTTATTTTGGATAAATGATTTTCCAAGCTTTTATATAAATCTTATTTAAATATGTGGCACTTTAACAGACGAAAATCTAAACGATATTTCTTAATATTTTTATAACGTCAAAAGAATTAAAGATAAATTACGATTAAATTTTATATCTCATCGTCGTTTTTAAAACGTAATCTGACTGGAAGAGAACACATATTGCTATCCTATAAAAGATTAAACGAAGCTAAGAAGAATGTTTTAGAATTCATTTTAAATAGTGGAGGAATAAAAAGCGAAACTTTGCAGCTCGTGTAAGTTCCTAGAGACGCATATAATTTCGAGGCGAGATCGTGTGTCTCATCTGTCAAAAGCGAGTATCACAACGTAACGGGAGCTGCATTGATATAAAAAAACGTCGATTTGTCTCAGAGGCCGTCAAAATTGCGGACATCTCGGATGACGTACAATGTTTTAGTAGAGTGGCCGGATAGAATGGCAGTGACTGCAGTAATTAGAGGCAGTTATGATGAGTCTGCATTTACTAAACGCAGCTTGCACGTGCACACACAATCACTCACAATGACTTTGTCCAAAAGTACTTACATATATTAAAGAATTTATTCTAATATCTTACTCCAAAACTAAATGTTATCAAAGAACATTTACACTCCAACTTAATTCTACTCGCATTATAAGCGTCCTGTGCCATTCATTGGGAACTTTCTTTCTACTTAATTTCAAAACATCCGACTTAATCTTAGTTTGTTAACGGTTACATAGATTTATACCGGATTCTATCAGAGAAAAACGGCCTTTAAAAAATTACACCGAGACTCAATATTGCTCTTTATGGTTCGAGGCAATAAATAAGTCACTTTTGATAAATTATAATTTAACAATAATCGAAGAAGTTGAATATTTATAATACTATTGATTAATAATTTATACCGCTTACGATTTAAAATTATATTCAGTTTAAACAGAAAGGAATATTACGAAATTTTCGTTCAGTTCAGGAAACGCTAAATAAGTTATATCCGAGAAGGAATATAGAATATTAGTATTATCTCTGAGATGCAGATTCATTAAAGATGTAATAACCATCTCTTAAGCGCTCGTTGATAATGTTCCCTAATTTATTAATTCAGTCTTAAATTTCCGTATCAAATCAAAAGCAACAGTTAGTTTTAATTGACAGGGATTTTAATTGTTCGTCTGAGTAGCTCGTAAACAAGAAAAGCTTGCTCTCCCTATACTTAATACTATGTAAAGTATGTAGGAAAAAAAGTAATTGCAGCATACATCCTCTCTTAGTGTTGATAGAGAAGTGTAACTGGAAAATGAGTGCAGAAGGGAAATTAGGCTATAAAGAAAAAGAAAAGTTTAAAAAAACAGGCAAGCAAAGCTCTCCGTGCTTTGGGGCAACAAGTCAGTCTTAATTAAATTTTTAATAAGAATTCTTCGATGACGGAGTAGGCATACAGGTAGAATAACTTTCGTCAGTTAAATCCTTATCGCTGTTAATTCTGTCCAGCTTTTTTTAATATGGCCTAAAAAAAGCGAGAGAAATTAATCTGAAGCACACTTTTACGTCGTCATTAGCAGATTCATCTTAAATCTTCTCACTAAACCTCCAATATTCGGTGATTCAAGACTGTTTGTTTTGTGAAATGATTTATTGCACAGCTTGTATGACAGCGAATGATTGCACAGCACCGTTTCATCGTTCAACCAGATAGAAAAAGCCATCGGGATGCATACTTAAAGCGTCATTCAGTAAAGTATAGCGCAGTGTCGAGGCTTAATAGTCGTCGGAGAGGGGTGATGAGATATGGTGTCAAGACGCACATTTTGGAGATTAGAAAGTAGAAATATCATTCTTTTCCTGTCGTCTGTTAAAATTTGCGTTTACAACTATACAAAAACCCCCGACTTCTTTTGATGCCGACTAACTTAGACAATTATCATCTCGGTTCCCAATTGAGTCGGCTGAATTACAAAGGAACCGAGTCGCTTTTACTCATCAACTCTTCAACATCAAAGTAGGCGGTGCGAAACCATGGCATTCCGCATTAGTCCAGATACATCATAATTACGGGAGGTGCCATATATTGCGTACCTCCTAACAAACGAACAGTAACGATATTAGCAATACAGCCGGCGTCGCTCTAGAGACGGCCGACTATAAAAAAATCACCTTCATTAGACAAGGATCAAGTGTAAATTAACCCAAGTTTCGTGATTAATGCAACGCCGGCGGTCAGATTATCTCGTCGCTAAGGACAAACAGCGTAATGAATGCCCGAATTGGTCGACACAACATTATCCATTAACGTGGTCGTCTTTAAAGGATGGCTATCAGCTTGTCTTACGAGATTGACTAAACTATATGCAGCACTTGTCCGGTTTGTTGTGGTTTATTCATGATCACGCCTAAGATGTCGTTAATAGCCATAATGAGATTAGCATTTAGAAGGAAGGTATCATTGCCGCTTTGATCCAATTTACAACTACCGTATAGCGAACGAGATGCTAATGGACGATTGCAATTTGAATTTCTCACTTGTATGAAAAATAGCCGTATAAATAGTTAAGTAGACAGTCGATTGCACTGCGAGCTGTGACCGATTGAGGAGACACTAAATGACTATCGGTGTAGAGAGGAAAAGCGAAATTGGAAAGAGTTGCATTAATCATGGATCACTGCTTACTGGGATGTCATCTAAGGAGAAATAGGTTATTTGGCGAAAGAGATAACACCTATGATTATTTTACTAAAAAGCTTTTCACAATAGCTAGTTTTACGAGAAAATAAAGGTAGAGTTAACTCGTCCTCAACAACGATAAATGTCAAAGGTTCTAAATAGTTAAACCTAGATCTTTTATGCGGATACAGATCGTTTCAGTTAACAATAACACTCGTATAGAATACACTCTCATCTCGTTTTAAATTATAGAGCCTAAAAGATTTCTCAATCACTTTCTTTGACTGGACCAAACTGAGACTCTATCGTGTTTCGTGTTAAGTTTAAAAAATTAAGCCAAGCTGTAAAATAATACGGCAGACATTATTAAACAAAATAAACTTCGGTTCACGAACTAGTTAATATTTAATGAAAATTTATTGTTTCAATGAAGGAAGTAGTGTATGGATGTCGGGTCGAAGTACGGTGCTCACGTTTAAAATATTTGATACAAAAAAAATTAGACTGCTGATCAATAAATAGGCAATTTTCCGTACAAAAGTTTTAACCTTAAGAGCGATAAAATTATTCCCTAGGAACATCCTAAGAGAAAGTAGAGTTGGTGTCCAATACAGCTACTAATTAATGAAAATTGACCTGACTCACACGAGAACTGAGCAATCAATGGGGTGAGAGAGGTTTGCATGTCCGTCTACAATCATCAACTTTCTGAATTCTAATGAACTTGATTCCGATCGCGTGAAACTTCCGTTGATTACGTCACAACGCTTTCTCCAACTAGTCATGTGACTTAGGGGTGTGTATCCTCGCGAGGAACCGATTCCCTAAAGAAAGTTAAAACTCGTACAAATAAAGTTTCACCTTTAATAACTTTTGAAATAAACAAGTTTCTAATAACCAAGATTAATAGCTTATGCAACTGTACCAGAATAGAAATGAGATTAAACCATTTAATGCTGAAAACTTAACAAAATTCGTTATTAAATTCTCGACGTAGGAAATTGTGATTTTAGTCTAGACGACAACCGCAATTAATCCACTTTTCGAAGCAGCTAGCACAATTTATTTATTATTAAAAACGCAAACTGGTTCTCTCTCCTTATCATTTATAGACGAAACTTTTGTACTAACTTATTAATATAGAAGTATCTTACTAATAAGTTATATTCTGAGATGCATTTTCTAGCTCTTTTGTGGTATCAACTAACCTCTGTCTCACTTCTGGTCTGGGCGGTTGAATTTCGTGTGCTACTTATTGGCAAAACTGATCATCTACCTGCCGATATATGTCCCAAAATAAATTAAGGTATTTTAGGATACCGGCAAAAGCAATCATTAACGATACTTCGGAGATAGAACGGGCAAAGAGAAAACGGTGATGATAATAAAGAAGCGTGTGAGAAAATAGCATATGCATTGTCCCGCCCAGTCGCAAGCAGAACAGAGATGAAAGTTCATACGAATTAAACAGCGATCGAGCTAAGGGATGCAGTGTCGAGTCGCGTGATGTCTGTTTTAGTCATTAATGGGATTCTGGTAGCCGCTGAAATGAAGATTTTCTCTTCAAAGATGGTAATGACAACTGCAACACAATCGTCGGACCAAACAAACTTTCTAGATAATTTCGTCGACTATGCTAATTAAACTAGAAATTCAGAAATGGGCAGGTGGTAATTGTAGATGAATTATCCAGCGGTTTGCCACTCGAGCTTCGAAGTAAAAATGATCCTTAATGTTCTGGGAAATTGGTAGATTGTGGTAGCCCTATACTGTTTTAATACATTTCGCATGAGAGAATATGACAATTTAAAATATTTGAATTTATCAATCTGATACGATTTGCTTCTCTTTAATCTAAGGAGATTAACAAAGAGTTCACGTTAATTTTATTTCCACATATTAAAGGAAACGATAGGCGGGAGACTTGAATTCGAGAACGATTAATGCACTAGAATAACATTAATTTTAATAGAAAAACTTGTTTAGCATTTAATAGTCGAAGTGTACATCGTAAGCCACTTATAAAGCTTCTATTTAAGGCTACTATTGTCTATATCAAAAGGTTAAATTAAAACAAGGAAAAGTTCTAATGACACCCATAACAACCATTTTAAAAGCGACGGCGTAACTAAAAACAAAATATCTTTTAAACAGAAAAACATTGTGCATTTAAAAGTAAATGAATAATGAATACTAAACACGCACTCGACCAAATTAAATAAAATATAATTTTCATCGTTAATTTTTGTTAAAAATTCGTTCACAGATATCTAATTTTTAAATTTTTGTTAATTCTTTAACAAAAAAAAATCCCTCGCAGATATAAAATTTGTATACGATAAAAAACAACATTTATGAGAAGAAAATGAAACAAATAGGAGGATTCCGTTCCCAGCACTGAGAAGCGTCGAGCAGGTGTTCCGTACGCCACACATTTATTGTTGCGTGCCTATTAATTCAGAAGGGAAGAAACAAAAATGTCTATCTCGGTGTTTCTGCTTTCTCTATTGACACTTATTCCACCAGCTAGAAAACGACATGGTAATTTATGCAGTACCATAGCCATGGCGTGCTTCATGATCCCTCAAATGGTGCAGACAAAGAGTTTATGACTCTCAGAAAGTACTAAAACATACCCATTAAAACGCTGGAATATTTAGCATGTTCAACCACATATTCTAATTACAAATACGAACATAAACTTGTACGGGGTTATTTCCACTGTAATAAATGCGTGTTAGGATGACAACTTTTTATACCGACCGATAAAAGCTATTTAAATATTAGTGTAAATGTGGAATTAATATGTTGTTTTTATTTTTTCACTTTGTTTATAAAATATAACTAAGGTTTTATAGTAGCTATTTATGAGGAATGTAAAATATACAGATAAAGTTCAAATTGGTTATGCACATAACTTATCTATTGTGCCACGCATAATATACATAATTTTGAAACCTTTAGTATTTTTAAATAATGAAATTTGTGAATTTTAAATTATATCGAATAACTCTATTAGGGTATAAAAAAACTAATTCTTATGTAAACAAATCTATAAAATCAGTAATAATGTGAATCATTTTATAATAAATCCAATTTTAAAATTTTTAATAAAAGAATTAACTTTAAAATATCCTATCAAATAATAAATAATAGATGAATAGAATCAATAAGAGAATCAGCAATCGGAACAACCGATTTTCTATAAAAGAATAAAAATTGATACTTGCAGTACATGGATAAAAACCAAATAAAAGATATATGATAATCTAAATCAAATCTTGAAAAGAGATCAATAGAGATTTAACCGGAATGCTTTTTTGTTGGAATTACTTTGAAACTCATTTGCTATAGCTGATAATTATTACTTTTTGTGGAACAATTTGCAAACGTGTGAAAATGAATTACATGAACAATGCTAGTGATAATTCTGGCAATAATCCAGATATTGTTTCCAACATACCAGAATAATACCGTACTTATAACGAGCAAATGATGTTCGGAAGTTATTACGGTTGCTTAATGTTTCATAAAAATTAAGAAAGTAAAAATGTACTCGTATCAAAAACTATATTTTTTTAATGCGGAAAACGATGAAATTTATTAACAGTTATTCAAAGAAGTAATAAGATATGGGGTAATGACTTTATGAATTCTTAAACGCAATGTTTAAAATACGAAGAGGAATTATATTAAATATATAGCACATATTTGTTACGTTTTCGAATAAATACCGTATTTTAGCGAGAATAATTTAATGTTTAGAATAAAAGTAATGAGGTCCTCAAAGTATCCATTCTTCTATTGTGAAACACATAACGGGATTCACTTTCTAAACGTTTAACAACCATGCAAACAATATGCAAATTAAATTAATTATATTATTTCCGGCTGTGATTCAATTCTAGCCAAAAAATGGTCTACATTTAAAGTCAAGTTAAATATTAAAAACTTACTTTGTTCAAATTTAAATTCATGAAAGATATCTATCACGCTATTCACCTACGAATTGTATCAGAAAGCAAACAATTATGAAATTACTACTTATCGCTAAAGTTGTAATGAGGACTCGACTCGAACTGAAATTCTCTTATTAAATTTATAAAACAATCTTTTGGCATTATTTTTAAAAATACATCCGCACACGCTGAGCAATGTTTGGAAGAATCTTCAACAATTGGTAACTATCTCGGAAAGTTCTCCCAGAGAGATTGAGAAAATATGTTTTCTATTTTCACCCATCTTACATAGAGCCTAATCATAAGAGGAGGGATGTTGGAACATCGAAACGATTTATTCTTGCAATTATCATTAAGAACGGAAACTGCTATTTGCTATCTGATTCCGATTTCTGCCGAGTCCAAATGTTGTGGGGGGCGAAAATATTTTCCCCCCAGAAGATGAGAGAAAAAGTGCGAGGTGAGGAATTATCGGAAAGACTTTGAGCGAATCGTTGTGTACACCTGTAGAAGAAAGTAGCAACGAAACAGATTTAGAAAATGATGGTCAACAGATGTCACAGTAAGTGGTGCAGCCTAATTACAACGGTTACTATCCAAGGAAAAGATTAAAGAGAAGAACAAGAGAGAAGGAGAGAAAATGAAATAAAAAAAAAAGCCAATAATGACGCGTTCTTCTATGAGAATTGAAAACGTGAAGGAGATACTGTACCTGCGATGTCGTTAGAACGATAGCGTTGTGTATGTCATCAACTTCATATTAATCTGATTGCTAGTTCTCCACTTTTTCAAGCTTTTCTTTTCTTTTTTTTTTAAAGGTTTCTTCCTACATGGATATAGTTTAACTACTAAAGACTTTCTATATGAAAAATAAAATGCATATGTGGACTACAATACTTACGAATCCATAAATTTTACTCATCAAATATAATTTTTACAAACAATATGTTTAATCTAAAGATATGAAAGAGTGTTTTTAACAATTTCGGTTGACCGAAAAAATATTGAACGAGTAGAAACCATTAATAAATTGAAAAAAATTACGTCTAACACCAGTTAAAGTTAAAGAAAAAAGACATTCACACAAAAGAAGTATTAACTGTAACTAATTAGCCATTAAAATATAATTTTGTATAATACTATTACGTAATTTTGATCCAACTAGTTAATCTATTAATTAAATTGTCCTTTAACGCGTGTAAAAAAATTAATTAATTATCAAGTCTGCCTAGAAATAAAGTTTTTTTTCCTATCACCTGGGTAAGAATGGTCATTAATCACAAGAACGATTAGTTAGTTTAATTCTCGATTTATTTAGATAAGACGAACGTTTGGTATTCTCATTTATTTCCTTTATCTACATAAAACTAAAATACAACAATAAAATCCAAAGTACCGATGCATAAATATATATATATATATATATATTCCTGTATTATTAAATATTCAGAGTAATTTCAGCAACTAACAGACTATAAATTTAAAACGAATTACGTACAACTTTACGGAATAACATATATAAATATACAAATGTATGTTACAGAGGGAAAGACTTATCTACTTTCATAAATTAATATAGCAAAATTATTTTGTTATATCATAAAATTTTTTATAATATAACAAAATAAAATATTTTTGCTTTTATATACACTTAGAGGTCACTTGATATACAAATATATATTATTTAAATGAAAAGTGCAAGAAAATATATTTAAATATATTTAAAATTGAAATTTTGAATCTTAGATAAAAAAAAAAATATAATAAACTACAGATAATAAAAAAGAGAACAATCATGAAGTAAAAAAAAAAAACAACAACAACTTTCCTTAAAACAACAGTCAATTACTATTAACTAAATACTTTTTATACCTTATAATGATAGATACTTGGCCGCTGTCATATACTCTATTATTTACAACCTCTCAATTTCTCAATATACAATTAAATACTTATAATAATATATGACGGAATACTAAAAACATGCAATTATTTTAAATATTCCATAAAATAACTTTCATTTTCTGTATGTATATACAAAATTAATTCAAATAAAATTTTAAAATCTTTCAATAATTTAGTCTTTTCGAGAATAACAATAATAAGTGACGTCCTTGCTTATATATGATAAATATAATAAATCATATAACAATTTAGATGAGGAACATTAAATGCTTGATCAAAGAGAATTAACACGATTAAATGTAACGATCCTTACTGTAAATGCTGATGTGTACACAAATATTGATGCCAAAACATTAAAGAATAAAATTCTTTAAATAATAATTCTTCTTCCCACTGGAATCCATCAAGATAACGTCATAAACGATTTATTTTCTCCAATCGAATAATAATGGAGCTTTTTTGTAATTAAAAATTTCGAAATTTTTATTATTTTCGAAATATCATATTCGATCGTTACTACTTTTTCAGCAGACTAATCATAATTTCTTGATTCAAAAGGGGAGTATGGGAGCCATAACTGATAAATGTAGGTTCTCTCTTATTAAAGTTTGTCAAGAAATATAAATGTGCATTATTAATAATTTGTTATTACATTATTAATGATATTGATTTGATGACATAAGAAAGAATAATCGTATATAACTTTTTCTAAAGATTTTACATTCAAAAATCTAATAACAAAAAATGTTATTTTTATTACAATATGATTTCAAATATTAGAATCATGTAGAAGGATTATCCAGATCACTATTTTTCAGATGAACTTATTTTCTTAATAACTTCTGGCTACTCACAACTTTATCATAAAACTTACCTCAACATAAGTCACAACTTTGCTTTATAATTAGCATGGCTTAAATATTTAATCTCAACCTTTCTTGACCAGTGGGAATTCATGAGTGAAAATATTCTTTCTATAGAAGCTGTAATTTCTGGTAAATAAAGGACTAATGCTATCAAATTATTAAAATCTTGGAATCAAAACTCCTTTTTTGCATTTAACTAAATGCTTTGACTCATCGGTCAACTACATCAATTTTTTCTTCATTCCATTATTCCAAGTGTTTGGTTATTATTAACTTTATTAGCATCCATTAATTCAATAAAAATAGATGGAATTCAATTATTCATGTAATATTTCTTAAATTCACAAGCTATTCTGTACTTCTTGCATCCTGGCATCTTCCTCAGCAATATCCATTCAAATTTATGACTCTTATCAAAGCAGAATAAACATTTTATAACAATACTTATTACAATAAAATTCCAAAATTTAGTATGCAAAAGTTAAAATAAAATTTTATCTTTATAGCTAAGATAAAAACATTAGATGAAAATA